CGGTCCTCAGAAGTTACCATATGGTAGGTAACAAAAGACTGTCTAGTGAAGACTTGAAACAACTGAGTCATTTATAATGAAATAAGAAAGCCCCAGACTGCTAAAATTAAGTATAGTTGCGTATCATAGAATCACAGGGCTGGAAGAGACCTCAGGAGGCCATCAAGTCCAGCCCCCTGGCCAAAGCAGGACCAATCCCAACTAAATCAACCCAGCCAAGGTTCTCTCAAGCCTAGACTTAAAAACCTCTAGCGATGGATATTATACCACCTCCCTAGGTAACCCATTCCAGTACTTCCATACATAGATATTTAAGATACATTTAGAAGGATAGTTAACAGCTTATTTTTAAGCTATAGTTATACTGAGAATTCCCAGAGTTTTCAAACTGCTTGGCCTCAATTGGCTTTTGCACAGAATGTAACACTCTGTGCCTAATGTTAATGGGAGTTATGCATAGATGCTAAGGTGCAAAGAGAGCTCCCACTGTTTCATACAGGCATCTCATCAGAGCAGGCACAGCACTCTCATTCATGCTATACAATTTTCTGTAGAATTATGGTGGGATCACAGACAATACAGATTTGCTGCACAAAGTAAAATATCCCATTATATATTCTACTGAAATATTTAATCTCACTCATGCTGTCCTGTCACTCACTCAGTTAAACAGAAAACACATTGTAGAAGAATGTCAACTAGCCTTGTTGCACTGAAATTCTGTTATTGTGTTACACAACTTAAAAGGATGCTGCTGGTATTTTGACACAATTCCACATAGAAAAGCAATTTGTAAAGCCAAACAGGTTTTGTTGCATGAAACCTGTTTTCAGTCCTCCCTGCTTGCCCTCACTCCATATCACTCCCAGAAGTGGATGGCATGTCCCTGCGGTTCCTAGGCAGAGGGGCCATGGGCTCCAATCACCACTAATGGGAGCTGTGGAGTTGGTGTTCAAGATGGAGTAGTGCACAGAGACCCTCTGCACATACACCTTAAGGGGCCATGGGCTCCAATCGCCACTAATGGGAGCTGTGGAGTTGGTGTTCAAGATGGAGTAGTGCACAGAGACCCTCTGCACATACACCTTAAGGCTCCCAGGACATGTTGGCTGTTTCTAGTAGCACGGGACCAGGCCAGGAAGTTTTAGAGGCCTAAAAATCTGTTTGGCTTCAGTAATTTCCAGTAGATAGAACTTGATTCCAGAAAACCCCTTGCAAAACTAGAAGGGCTGGCAAACTTATTTGTGGGAGTTGAGCGATAAGATTTTTGAGGATAGGAGCAGTATGAAAATGTAAGAAACAATGTATGAGTGAGTGGGAGCATACATGGTAGGGCAGGATGGAAGCAGGATTAAAAAAAAAGTCATCCCACGCAGGGCTCTACTTAGAATCCCATATAGCAGCTTACTGGGGTTTATACAACTCAGAGCATTTGAAGGATTAACAAGGAATTTGGGTAAATTATGATCTCTCAGGACCTTAACGGAGCATTTGGGGTACAGCAATTTAAAATCTACCAACATTCAAATGCACAGGGCAGTGGGTTTGGGTTGCCTGGAATAACACCTTCTGTCAGATGTTATTCATTAGAATCCCATTGACTTCATTAACAAAGTGACAGTTGTGTGCCCAAGGCAAAGTCCCATCATGATAGCTGCAACGTTTTATGTAGCTCCCTGTGTGAATGTCTCACCAGTGAGAAATAAAAGGTCAATTTTTCTCACACCCACACACATTGCATGCACCAGGAAAGAAAGAAGGGGTTCTCCTTGCACCTCTCTATGGCAGTGGGAAGAAGCCAAGCTGACAGGTAGTGGGAGACTTGGGGAAGAGAGGTTAAGTATTAGCTGGAAGGACATGATGATTGCTGGTAGGAGGAAGGGGCTGTAGCGTGGGCCTATGGCTCATTGTCCAGGAACGCGGGCTAGAGGTTTTTAAACCAACTTGAGTGAAGTTTGTAGCGGTTTCTCTAATTTCAGTCACTGCCCATCAGTCTCCTTCCCATGTTTCCCCCACTCATTATGACCAGTGCTGAGAGGTTTCTGTTCCACTCAGGTCATCCTATTCTGCATCATTAATCCCTATTATCTGTCTGACAATCCCTCCCCCCACTCTGCCTGACCCTGTGCACCCTCACCACCTTTGTCAGCAGGGCACTGGGGAAGCCAGTCACATATGCCACCTGTTCTTCCTGGCTGCTTTATGCAAACTTGGATGCCATGGCAGACCAGGAAAAATCCTTCAGTCCTGATGGTTCTGCAATGTAGATATGGACATGTGAGTGTCACATGAGATATGGCATGTAATTGCCCTGCACATTCTAGCATAAGGTGACCTGTTAAGCAGCTGGAATAATGTCAGCATAATTTTGACAAACAGTAAGACATTGACAATGTTCCAGGTGTAAGGGGAAGAAAGGAGGAAACATGTTCCCCACCCCACAGCTTTTTTTGGGAGAAAATAGAAAAGCATCTTTGTCCGGAAACATGTTCCCCACCCCACAGCTTTTCTTGGGGAAGATAGAAAAGCATCTTTGTCCAATTTGTTGACTGTAGGAAAACAGAGAAGAAGCAAACACATAAAAATGGCCATAGCGGGTCAGACCAAAGGTCCATCTACCCCAGCATCCTTTCTTCTGACAGTGGTTTGGAGGGAGCCAGTATGCACAGAGAGTTAGTTTGAAAGCCGGCTTCCCATACAACCGGACTCTCATCTGCTCCCCCACCCACTGTGCTCCTGCACGAGGGGTGGGGGATGCAGGCAGCTCTACAGGAGCCAGGACATGTGGGAAGCCAGCTCCCTCCAGGCACCAGCTCTCATCTGTCCACCCATTTTGCTGCTTCTGCTATAGAAGCAGCAAGGGAGGGGGGAGATGCATGTAGTCATTAGAATTAACTGATAAGCCCAGGCTTATGGGTTAACCGTGTAAACAATTACATCCCTAGTTTGCATAGCTAGAGTTTGCAGGGTGTGCTGATTGAACTGTAGCAGCGCTTTGGCTGCAGAGAGAGTGCACATCTCTCATAGTTAGGGATGCAAAGCTGTATTGGCATGCTTTCCAAAGCAACCAGTTAACTAGAGGCACAGCTGGCACTGCAGATGGAGAGGCTGCTCCAGCCTGACCACGCCTGCTGCTGGCTGCTCTGGTTAGGCTGGAGCAGCCCTTCCTGCCTGCAGGATCCCAGTTAAGTGGTTAAATACAAAATTTAACCACTGAACTTTTTAAATGAGATTTTATATCCCTACTTACAGTCAATTGTGTGTGCAAACCAAATGCACCTCCCTTCATACACCCTTGCTTTATGTGTGTATCATGACAGTAATACTGGTAGGGAAAAAAATCAACACAGAATGAAACTAGCAGAATCTGACAACCCTGCTCTTGGACAATGGTAAACAAAATGTATTGTGGGCCTCTGAACCAATGGGCTGCAGTGGTTACCCATCATGCCTTATGTTGGAGAAAGATACCAACAAGGGCCAAAGGTATAATTAGGTTATGTCACAGTTCTCAAGAGTCCTATACCTAGCAGAAGTATCAGTGAAAACAGTTTCTTATGAGTGTGTCAGAGAGAAATTTCAGTGAAACTGCTGCATAGAGCATGTGAACAAAGACAACGTTTTGAACACAAAGCACTGTTAAAAAACAAAACAAGCACTCACTGGAAGAGCTAGATTATGGTGACTTCACCATGGGAAAAGAACTAACAACAACAGAAAAAAAAATCTAGGTCAGGTTACGATCTCTTTCCCAGTGGGGGGAAGGAGGGAAGAGGGGGAGGGAGAAAAAAGGGGGGAAAAAAACCAACCACTACCTTACTCTACAGGAAGGTTAGACCTTTTTCACACCGGAGACTACAGACTAACTCTCCCTTTACCAGAACTCTGGTTCTTAGGCTTCATCTACATGCAGTTTGTGTATCAATATAACAATTTTGGTCCCCCCCCCCCAAACAGTTATACCTTATTGTGGATGCAGTTAGATGACAATAAAGGGGCCTTCTAGAAAGAGAGTGTATTCTCCTTCCTCTTAAGGTATGAATACTGACATAACACACTTTTTAACAATAACTACATCCACACTAGCTGGGGGGAGGGGAGAAGGAATGTATCGCTTCAACTACTAGTATATATAATGTGATACAGCCTCCATGTATAGGCAAGGTACATATGCACTGTGGACAGTTGGAAAATAAGTCTGTCAACATCCAAAAGCCACAAAGATAGTATATTTTGCTGCATGGGCTAAAAGCTGCTTACTCTGACCTTACTGACTCCTCACTCTGTTGGTATCTGTCTTTCACAGAGGGTTCTCTTACATATCCAGCTAGCGAGGTCAACATTGGCAGGGTTTGCATGTCCATTACTTGTTGCAGCATTAGAAACCCGCTCTATTTTCCCTCTGCCGTTCAGTTCAACTTCCATTCTCACAAACATCCCACTCTCCCTACCTCTAATATCATCAATGCACAGACACTTACCTTCCTTCCTTCCTCCCCCCCCCCTGCATCCCCCTCCTGTTCTGCAATGTGATTTGTCCTTTTCATATTTGTTCATTTTTTTAAATTGTATCCTTTGGTATATATGGCTGTGACTACTTTCTTCCACTATTTGATCTGAGGAAGTGGGTCTGGCCCACGAAAACTCATCACCTAATAAACCATCTTGCTAGTCTTTAAAGTGCTGCATTGTCCTGCATTTTGCTCCATTCTCTTTGGCACCGTTTTTGAGCAGGAGTCTCGCCACGGACTGTGGCAGTTCTCAGAACGAACCATTAATGCCGAGGAAGCGCCGGGCAGAGCTCAGGAGTAACTTAGCCCAGGGCCCCCCGAGAAGAGTGCACGGAAGAGCCGCCCACGCCCACCAGGCCCCGCACTTGAAAGTACAGGGCACGAGAACGGCGGCTCTGCGCTAGGAAAGCGGCTGTTTCACTCCGCTGCCGCCAGGCGAAGGGCCCCGTCCCCGCGCTCGGGAGCGCTCCAGCCCTGCCCCACACTCACCGCCTCTCTCGGCCGCGGCGCTACCGCCTGCTGAAGCTGCCATGCCGCTGTGCACAGGTGGAGCCGGGCTGCGTGGCGCATTGGAACGGCTCTCGGACCAATGGGAAAGAGCCTCGGCCCCGCCTTCCAAAGGGAGGATCCTCGGG